CACACACACATATATATATATATATATATATATATATATATGAAGAGTTCAGATGGAAAAGCCGTCTCTAAAATGAGTTTTTTTTTTTCTCCAGCTCATATGTTTATGTTCTGTTATTTCACTTTATTAATGAAAAGAACCTAATAAATTCAGCCTTGATGAGCAGAAGAAACTCATGATCCCAAACTTTTGACCGGCAGTGTATATATATACAATGTATAATATAATAAAATAAATAAATAATTTAAAAATTATAAAACTATTTGAAAAAAATAAAAAACTAGCAGAAATTAAATTAATTAATTAATTACAAAAATATTTTATAGGGCCCCAGATTTCCACACCTTCCACACATTCAACTCATTCATCCACATCCCGAAATACAGTACGATACAGTAATTCCAGAAGATCACAGACCACTCCTGACAGCACAGACGGGACAGAGATCGGCCTCGTCAGGAACACACACTTACGTGACTGAGACTGCCAGGCTTGGCTGTTAGCGGAGGCTGAGACACACACAGACAGGCGATAGGAGAGAGAGAGAGATCACTCCAGATCAAGCATGCAGCGAGGATAGCAGAGATCACGCCTCTGATTACTGTCTCAGCACATTCATATCACATCACCACTCTCATGATCCAAAGATCTCAAACCCAAAATATACACACTTGGCAACTGGCAAATGCAAGTAAAATAAAGCTTTTTTAAAAATGGTGAGAGTGATAGTCTGACTCGACCTCGACTTTTGTGACCAGCACAACTTCTACAGTACAAGTTTAGAATAATTACGATTTTTAAATGTTTTTAAAAGAAGTCTCTTCTGCTCACCAAGGCATTTATTTGATCAAAAATGCAGTAAAAACAGCTGTTTTCTATGTGAATATCTGTTAAGCTGTAATGTATTTCTGTGATGCGCAGCTGTATTTTCAGCATCATTACTCCAGTTTTCAGTGTCACATGATCTTCAGAAATCATAATAATATGCTGATTTGCTGCTCAACAAACATTTCTGATTATTATCAATTAGTAATGAGTGGTAAAAGAAACATCACAGTGATTTGAGCATTTGATATCATTGCTACAGTGTTAGTAAGGACTATATTATACACACAACTAAAGACACTGGATTATTGGCCGCTTCTTGAAACCGAGCGACTGGATGAGTGTGTCACGGCGCGGTACAGAAAACACACCGTGTAAACTGGGGTCTGGGTCCAAACGCAGGCTTTTATTAGACTGCAGGGGAAAAACAAAGTCAAAACAGAAAACAAACAGAGCTAAGACTCTGAGACACAGGCTTGCGACAAGGAAGGGAATCTGATGCAATACGGCCACGTAGAGCTTGCATCAGTCCACACATCACAGCTCGTACAATAATCATCATGACAGTAAAATGCTGCTAATCCAGTTAAGAGGTGAAATAAACTCACATACAGACGGCTAATCATGATGACTAGTACTGCGAGTGCTGAATTGAGAGGAGTGATGCACAGTAAATTGCTGCGTTTATGTTACTTTACAGGAATGTAATGAGTTAAGCTCTAAAGACTACATCACTGCAGCAGAGAAAATCATTTCAATCATCCCTCAGCTTTTCTTAAATGTTTGCAGTTAAAATAGGCCACTCTTATATATATATATTTTTTTTTTTTTTAACTTTTTTTTTTTTTTTTTATATATTCAAACGTTTGGGGTCAGAATGATTTTTTTTCACACTTTTATTCAGCAAGAGCTTACTAAATTGATCAAAAGTGACACTAAACATTTAAAATGTTACAAAGGATTTCTTTTTCAAATAAATGCTGTTATTTTGAACTTTTGATTCACCAAAAAAAAGTTTTCAACATTAATAATAATAAGAATTAGAAGTCACTGAAGACTGGAGTAATGATGCAGAAAGTTCAGATCTGATCACAGAAATCAATTAGTTTAGAGATAAATTAATAATATAGTCACATAGAAAACAGCTATTTTAAACTGTAATAACATTTCACAATATTACTGTTTTTACTGATCAGATAAATGCAGCCTTGCTGAGCAGATAAGTCTTCATTTAAAAACATAAAAACTTTCAACTCTAAGCCTTTGAACGGTAATTTACTGTTAACTGGTTTTACACAATCTTGATAGAAGTTATAAATATTGGATATTTTTGCAATTCAGTCACACTAGTCTAAAGTTAACACATCACTTAAACACATATTTTTGGCAAGACATTTTAAATACATATTTTTTTATGTTTCTGTTGCCCCATTACAGTTTTTCTCGATTGCTAACACACTATAACTGATTCGTTTGGCACAACTTTCCAAACCACTCATACAGTTCCTGAAACAAAGACACGTTTCTCAAAACTTTGAACACATTTCACCTGTTTTCACACACGCTCCAATTTGTTTTCAGCTGAACTCTACACAAGAACGGCATCATTTTGCACATTTTGCACAGGTTTAACCATGTTCTCATTTAGAAAACACAAACACACAATATAACTACCTCAAGAATCACAATATAAACTCAAACAGCACACATTTATCCATGTGTGAACATTAAGCAGCAAAACTGATGACACACAGGTCAGAATCTCAGGATGATATGAACAAGAGCACAGCTGATTATGTGATTTGGAAAATGAATCCTGATAGTGAGAGACAAAGAGGAAGAGGAGGGGGAAAGAAAACTGAAGGAGATGAGGCCAAAGCACATTTATTCCTGATGAAATACACAGCGCTGTAGTTGATCATGTATGGCTGTTGAGTTTAACTGCAGATGTTAGTGGCTGTCAGGACAATGGCTCCTCGAGGCGCTGGTTAATAATAAACCATATCATATTATGAGAGTCACCTTCGCGTTTTCTCTCCTGATCGTGAACTGGATGCAGTGAGAGCTATTTTAATTATTCACCAGGTGAGAGCGGC